AAGCATTTCTGGCCGTGGGATACTGCGCCGAGTCATTCAAAAACAAAACATGGAGGAGAAAATATTGCAATGCATCGCAATAATTCAAGTATCGTGATGCAGCGTGATAGAATCGCATCGTGGCCTGTGAATCGTGATTCGAATCGAATCGTGACGTCTTTGGCAATACCCACCCCTAATGGAAACCACACATTTTCTCTTAGTTAGGGGTTTCCGCAGGTCATTAAAAATCATTAAGTCATAAAATTATTATTTTTTAAATAAATTTAATGCCTTAATTGGCATTAAAATTCATTAAATGTATTTATTGTGGCATTTAAAATGCTTTATTTAAAAAAATGTTTATAAAAACAATTTCGTCAGACATATTATATCATGATATATCTGCGTGGAACTGCTTCCAGTTGATCGCAAAGCTGCATGTTCAGAAAAGAAGCTTGAGTCGGAGAAAAGGCTAGAGAATGGGGGGGGGGAGCAAATTTCAACAAAAATGGCTGGAAAATGAGAAATTCAGAACATGGCTGCAGCCTGTCGACTGGTACCTGTTGGTGGCATTAAAATTATTTCTAAGAGCATTAAAAGCATTAAATTAGAGTTATTCATTCCTGCATAAACCCTGTAGTTAGATGTAGGTGGATTTTCCCTGACATACCTGAGCAGAGTCGGTTCTGATGGAACCCAAACAGATTTGATCCTTTCTACCAATCAGCTGCTGCGATGTGTCCCTCTGACCAGCAGGGGTCACTGCTCTACCACAGACAAAACAAGCAAAACCAGAACCGGTGTAGGTACCAGATCTGCTCAGGACGTCATCATATGGTAACTCAACTCAGACAAACTGTATTTCACCCGTTTATTAAGGATCAAATCTATTTTGGAGACTCAACATCTTATTCCATATATTTGCTATTATTTTCCATTTCATCGCCGATCTAAAGTAGCAGAAAGTAGAAAACAATCACTGTCAGTCTCAAAGGAAAGTCCTGCCTTCTAAGACAGACTGAGCTCTGCTATTTAACAAGGAGACAAAAAAGTCTCTGCTCATTTTTGTTCTTTTTATTAAGATCTGAGGACAGGAAGGAGAAATGGAACATCTTAAAAATGACTTCCATAGAGATTTTAGACAAATGAAACAGCTATTATACATGTAGAAAACATACAGTTAAAAGTAGTGTAGCTTAATATGGCTAACTGAGCGGGCTAAAAGGGGCTAACCTGTTAGCTACAGAGCAAAGCTAGCTACAGCGCTAACCAGCTCTTTATATCAGGGTCTAACAGTTACGCGGCACGCGGACACTGCGTAATGTTATTGTTGTCTGGGCAACCACTATGTTTAACATCATGTGGCAACATTCAGTCAATCATTTAGCGTAACGTCACTGGCAGGAAGAGCTATATGTGTATATATTTAATCTCTTTTTATTCTTATTTTTTATCTTTATTATATTGTGTAGTTAGTGTGTGTTTATATATCAAACTGTAACTGGAGCGTGTAACAAAAGTAATTTCCCTCTGGGATTATTAAAGTATTTCTGATTCTGAGGAAGCAGAACCCAGCAGATCTGGTTCCTACAGCAGCAGCTGGTTCTGTTCTGTAGGTCATGTGACCCTCTGAGGCTCAGAGTCTGAAATCAGTTTGGAGGCTTTAGAAACCTGCAGAGCTGCTGGTAGATCCGTTACCTTCGGTTCTTTTTCTGCATTTAATGTTTAGTTTTTTATGCATTATCACCAAGTAGATCTGGAAGAACAGAGAAAGAAAAATCTGAAAAGTGTGGCGTGCATTTGTCGTCCGCCTCCTTTACTCTGATCCCTGTAAATAAAATCAGAGGAAGCTGATGGTCCTTCATGAGGACTGAGCTGCAGAGCTGATCGATGTTTAAACAGAGTTTGGTTAGAAAACTTCTTTCAGAGCTAAAATGGTTTCAGGAAAACCAACAGGTGCATTTTTCTCTCTGTGCTGATGGAATATTTCATTTTTCTCTCTGTGCTGATGGAATATTTCATTTTTCTCTCTGTGCTGATGGAATATTTCATTTTTCTCTCTGCTGATGGAATATTTCTCTGATTTATAGGAAAATAATCTCAGAATATTATTAATTTAGCAGAATCTGAATCTCCTGTTTAGTTCATGTTAAATCTAGATCAGGTTGTTTGGTTCTAAGATGCTCAGACTTGGTCAGACGGACTGCTGCTGCTCTGACTGGAGGCGCTGCAGGAACCGTGATGTCAGTGAATGCACCATCATGATGGCGTGACAGCAGCCTGTCTGCCCTCCAGGTCCCGTCAGTCACTGAGTCATTAAACCTGTCATTAAGCTCAGTCCTCTGGCTGACCTGGGATCAGCCTGGAAACCTGCTTCATGTTCAGAATCGTCTCTGATCAGTCAGAACCAGCGGACCGGGTCCAGATCCACCTGCTGACTCAGAGGATGAGCCCGTATCTGATCACAGATCCGTTTGTCAGATGTTGGAGTCAGAAAGAACAGATCAGGAAGCAGATCTCAGATCAGATATTCAAACTTCAGGTCCGACTGTAGCTCTGGGTTCATTTCCCTAAAGCTTCTGGTTCCTGCTGCTTCCTTTATCTCTGGTTCTGGTTTGGTTCTGCTGACGTTGTCCGTTTGTGTCTCAGGGGTCCAGAGGACACGTGCTTCGAAGGAGGCGTCTTCCCCGCCGTCCTCAGCTTCCCCTCAGATTACCCGCTCAGCCCTCCCAAGATGAGGTTCACCTGCGACATGTTTCACCCTAACAGTAAGTCCCTGAAGCTCCGCCCCCTCAGCAGGTTTACACGGCAGACATGACGGGTCGGGCCGGGGGGGCTGAACCCTGTTATTGGACCCGTCAGAACACGGCCGGCTGTCATTAAGGCCTGATTAGTGGGCAGGAGACATGATGTCATGGAGCAGAGAGGTTCTGATTAGAGGACTCAGTTCTGACCCGTCATCATCTTCCCTACCATCATCATCATCATCA